GGTTTCTCATGTGTGTCTAGTCCAGCCGACCACATGAGAACTGCCTAGGGCTGGAAGCTTACAAAGAACTGTTCGTTGGCTGATTCTTGGAGGTTACCAGAAGGGTTTAGCAGYTGTCCGAAGGCTTGTAGAGGCTTGGAGAGTGTTTTGGTAATCAGGAAGAATCAGAGAAGGTTAAAAGGATCAATTTTAGGGTTCAGGCCGAGATTGAAGGTGGCGATCAGAGTTTTCTAGGTAAGTTTTTATTTTTCCTTGAGGTCGTCGTCAGTCAAAGATAGGTTGGACCTATCTAGGAGGAGCGGCTGAACTCTCCTTTATTTTCTCAGAGGCGATCAGGTTTTTCTGATTTTTTTTAGGGTTTGTCATTAACCTTACGACCAGATTTGACTGTGAACCTATTTGGAAGGTGCAGCTGAGCACTGTTTATGCTCTCACAAAGGTTTCCTTAACCCTACGATCAAACCCTAAATCTGCTTCAGCATTACAGATTGTTTTCTAAGTGGTTTCTAGACCTGTTTTGGCTTCAAAGCCTTTTTTTTGGGGTGAGAACCTTTATTGGACTGCTTACATTCTGAACTGCCGATTGATTTCAGATCAGATCCGAACTGAACTCATACAGAATTCTGACCGTGATCAGTTATTTAAGTGTTGTTTTCTATTGCAGTAGCTATAATAGTTCTTAATTACTGATTCTTAACCAAGAATGGAGTTAAAGAATCAGGGGGAAGGTGTTTTTGGGAACAACAGTTCTGGTAATATGTCTGAGACTGCGTTTCAGATTACAACTGTGAGATTTGACGAATCCAATTACTTAGAATGGGCCCAATCGGCCATGGTGGCTATTGGGGGAAGAGGAAAACTTAGCTACCTATTGGGAGATGTGAAAGAACCTTCCAAGGAAGACCCAATGTATACCAAGTGGGTTCAGGAGAACTACTTGGTTATGACATGACTGTGCAACTCTATGCAGCCACATATCAGCCGAAATTATTTGTGGGCAAAAACAGCCAAGAGATCTGGGATGTCATGAAAGAGACCTACTCCCAACCCCTTAGTGTTGCTAGAGCCTATGAATTGAAGTGAGGTAAATAACCTCAAACAATGAAAGAAACCAGTCTCTGTCTATTTCTCTACTTTGAAATCTCTGTGGCATGAAATTGACCATCTGGAGACTCTTGAGTGGGAAAGTCCGAAATATGCACGAACCCATAGAAAGCAAGTTGAGACCAATAGGGTGTTTGAATTCCTGGCTGGTCTGAATTCTGATTATGACATTGTGAGACAACAGATACTGACAAGAGATAGTGTGACCTTATCTCAAGCCTACTCTTTGGTGCATAGTGAAGAGACTAGGAGAAAAGTTATGATGCAGCATCAGCCCTTCCCCCCAGCCCTAGCAGCAGTTAAACCTAAGTCTGGGGGTGATACAGAAAGGGACATGAAGAAGGAAGATAAGCAGGATCTAGT